CCAGCCTCCTCCCAAGTGTCCCACTCCCAAATGTCCCCCTAAGTGTCCTCCCCAGTGTCCAGCCCCATGCCCAGCTCCGGTCTCTTCCTGCTGCGGCTCCAGCTCCAGCTCCGGGGGCTGCTGTGGCTCCGGGGGTGGCGGTGGCTGCTGTGGCAGTGGTGGCAGCAGTGGGGGCAGTGGTGGCAGCAGTGGGGGCAGTGGTGGTGGCCAGCAGTGTGGGGGCTCGGGCGGCTGCTCTGGAGGCTGCTGCTGAGCTGGGCCAGGAGATCCCTGAAGAACAGGTTCACCTAAAGGGCAAAGGACTATCCCAGCCTCGAGGGTGACCTCCGCCTCCCTCCTCTGCTCTCCTCTGTCCCCATCCAACCAATACCCCCGCAAGGCTGGCTTCTCAGAGGCCACCACAGCTCTGCACATGGTGAATTTGTCTTCTTTTGCCTTATGTCAATATCTGCATTCATAAGATCATCGAAAATACCCTAAAGCATGTGCTTCACAACAGTCAACTTACTTTAAGCCTCAATATGACTTTTCTTTAAAAAAAAAAAACACTTTTTTTTTCCTTTTATCTAAATCCTAATGCTTCTTGGATAGGAAAAGAGATTTTTTTAAAAAAAACTGGATTGGCGGAAAATCAGTCTAATAAACATTAATAGATTACTTCTTTTAAAATGCGTTTATTAATGCACTGCAGTTATACGAAATAGCGGAGTTCATTCTGACATGATCGCACATGCAGGGAATATTCTTCATGTGTTTATACCTTCAATAAAATCAAAAGTTCTGCACTATTTGTGAAACTAATAAATAAGGGTTGACTATAATTCCAGACAAATTTAACTTTAAAAAATACTTTGGTCATGAAGTAGGCATGCCACTCAAATTCTTTAGACAGAAAATCCTACCTACGTAAGTAAAAGTTGACTTGTTGCTTTATACTCATAATTTAAGGCAACATCCCCCTGCTAAAAGATTGAGGTTAAGGCAGCAGAGCTGCCCATGTCCACCTGGGAATGGAATGGGGAAAAGTACTGGTCTTTGTAGCTGCTCTCATTGGTTGTACTGTGGATATATGGTTTAGTTAAATACTGTAGAGACCCAATCTTTAAAGAAAACCCATTTGCAGAGACCCAGTAGTCAGGATTGGAATCCAGCAAAATATTTTCCTTCTCTCCATTCTCTGTCCTAGAGGTAAAGAGTCCCCTAACCACAAAGCTCTGCTGATTTAGGGCTCTCTTCCAGGACAGAAGCATTGGATTTGATAGAGCTAGTCTTGCAGACCTGTCTTTGCATGTGGTCATGCAGGAAGCTCAGATGCATTTACTGAGAGCAAGTACAGAACTGAGGTGGGGGTCAGAGTAGCCACTGAAATGAACCTGGTTGGTTGGTGCTGCTCCTGTTCTCACACTCACCACCAGCTGAAGTTACATATTTTTTTTTCTTTTCACTTGCTAAGTGCGTCTCTTCTTCTTCCTGGAGAAGAGTGGACCTTATTCTCTATGTTAGACAAAATGTACATGTTCAGGATATCAGTGTCAGCCATGAAAAGAGAGCACTCTGGCTTTTTGAAATATAGTGAGGTCCATGCAGGGGATTTTTTTATCATCAAGGGTTTTGAGAGGCTGAAGAAGTAAAAGGAATTCTTGGAGTTACTCAGAGATCTGGAAGCATCAGGGGTAGGGCAGCATCACCCAAACTCCTGTTGTGGTCCTAGGACCTGCCAAATAGCTGCGCTGGCTCAGGATGCTAGAAACAAACAATCCTCCTTGCTCCGCCCTCCCAGAGAGCCCTGCTGGGACCACTCACAGGACACTATCCGAAACTCTGGTTCTGGAGTTCACCCAACAACATAATGGGGGTGGGAAAGGGCGGAGGTCAGTGGCTGCCATGGCTGGGGCTGGACGGACAGGTCACGACCTTTCAAGAATGCAGTCCAGGTGAATTGAAAGAAGAGCCCTATTCCTCATGCCGTCCACCCACTTCAGTCTCACAGATGCTGATGCTGTAAGGGACCTGAGTGTTAATCTAGTATATATTCTTAACTATTAAGTATCATGGAACAAATTAACTAGAAGGGCTACAGGGAGCTTTTTAAAAACAGCAGATCTTCCTAAGAAGAGCAGCTCATTAGGGCTAAATGACACTGGTATTCACCCGCATCCCGGCAGAGACCAGATCCCCAGGTCCTGTTTTAGTCCCCTCTCCCTCCAGAGATGAGTATCTGCAGCTATGATCCTGTGAATCCACTGGACTATTATTGCATGAATCCACAAGTCTGTGTTTCTATGAGCTGGTGTCCAAAGAAACAAATGGGAGGAAACTTCTAGGGACTTTTGGAGATAACCCCATGACTCATCCTGGAGCTGGCTCCTGTCATCTGACTTCTCCATGCCTTGCCTCCAAAGCCTATAAAATGGGTGGAGCACAACCCACCCACCTGTTTAGGTGGCACATGGATGCCGTGTCTCTCACCAGGGATGTTGGCGTTGCCTGGAGATGTCAAAACCATTAGTGAGATCCTGACCCCAGAGAGCAGGAAGTGAGCCTTACCAGATGATGTGAGATGTACAGACTGGCCAATATGGGACAGCCCTTCCTACGTGGATGGAGCCTGGTCTGAGTTATACTCTCAGTGTAAAGCACCCTCATCCATCCATCTTCATCCATCCATCCATCCATCCATCCATCCATCCATTAATATGTTCACTCGGTTAACGTCTCTCTGGTCTTATGATGCTAGATGGTGGCTTGAAAATGAAAATCATAGTGGGAACAGCTCCATGGACAGCTAGGTCGTGGAAGTCTGCCTTTCCTTTTTAGAACAGGGTCCTACAATCACAGGTAGCCTGGCTGGAAGGGGCTTCCCTAACTAGAGAAAATGAAATGCCCAGAGAGTCACAGAATGGGGCTGTGGTAGAATCAGAAGAGCTCAGCTCTCCCTATTTGCACCCTCAGTCTCTTTTCTATTTTGTGGACCTGAGTTAAATTGACCAGCTTTGGGGGGCATTTCCTTCCTGTGAAGTGCAGTGTTCCATCCTACATACAACATAGCCCGCTTCTTAATGACCAACTGGTGAGTGACTGAAAAATATGGTTCCTAAGCAAGACGGACTTTAATGCCAGAGGCAGTATGTCATGGTGAAAAAACAATTAAATCTGCAGTCCCTTATGCCTTGGTTCGAGTTCTGGCTCTGTGACTTCTAGCTATGTGAGCCCGGGCAAGCTACTTGTTTGTTTCTTTGAGACACTACTGTGAAGACAAAATTTGAAAAGCTATTCGTGTGAAGGAGCTGACCCTACTAAGAGGTTGCTGCTTTCCCCTTCCATTAACAGAACGTCAGGCCTGGATTACCCTCAGGAGAGATGCTTCGAGGAGCAGGAATGGGAAGACTTGGACCAAAGTCCCTCCCCACTCATCCCTCCCACTGGGAGAGGGACTGGTGGGCTCCATAGGGGAGGTTATGGAGTGTGACATGCCCATCAGGCAGGGATGACAGGAGGAGGCAGGTCACTTCCCAAGCTTGGGGCAGAACCTCCTCTTCTTATTTCTTCCAAATTGTTCTGGAGCACCTTATAAGACCTGGCTGGAGGTGGGAGAGGGTCTGTGAAATAGTGGGCTTTGTATTTTTGTTGTTGTTGTTTAGGAAATTTGTGAGCCTAAAAGCTTATGGATTCAGGGGAATTCAGGATCTATTTTGGACAAATACAGGAGTATCTTTTACCTGAGAGGCTCTGGCTGATCCTACGTGACATTTGGAGCCAGTGTTAGGCGCAGACTCAAAACTAGCCTCTTACACTGAGCAACCCAAGATGGCTCAGGAAGGAGAGTTCAGGCTCTGGGAATAGACAGGTTTGGGTTCCAGTGATACTCCATCACCTAACCGTTGAGATAGGCCACTGGGTCTCAGTTTCCTCTTTTGTAAAAATGAGGCTGACATAACCCTGCTCACAAGTTAACTGCAAAGATTAAACGTAGACAAAAAGGCTAAGAGAGCTCACAGTACAAATTACGTGCTCAAGAGCTATCATCTCACCTTTCTTTCTAACATCTACTGCTTTGGGGAAAGGAAAGGTGGCAGGATTCCAGGATGGTGCTCTGCCCAGATAGAAAAGCCAACACACGGGAGTGATAAAGATCATGTCTGTGAAAGCAGATCTCCTGCATATGAATTCTGGTTTCTCTACCTACCTGCTTTGGAGGAGAGTAACTCCCTAAATCTTTCCGGGCTTCAGTAGCATCCACCTGCGAATGTACCCACCTAGTCAATTGTTTAGCACCTAAAAAGCATGGAGCTAGGTGTTAGGTGCTACTATTATTGTGATCACACAGGGTTCATTGGGCTGTGATTCCTCCTACTCTGGGTTCTTGGGAATCTAAGCCTGGAAGTGAGACCCAGGAAGGGAAGGAGGAGGAGGTCCCAGAACAGAGGTGTCTCTATGTCTAGACCTAGAGTCTGGGATCATCAAGCGCATACCCGGTTTCTCAAGTGTACTTGGAATAACCCGATGATCCATGGGGGCTTGTTGCTATTCTGATCCAGAGAACACTGAACTACACTCTTGTGCCCGAAACCTACACCAGCATAAACCACCAAGAAAGCCCCCTGAACAAATACCCAGATCCAGGTAGCAACACACAATGTACCCAACATTGCGGATCTAGCTGTATCTTGGACAAGTCTTTGAAGACTCCAGTGGCCTAGAAACAGCTCCATTAGGGACGGATTGCATGAGCATCACTCATAACTTCTAGGAAAAGAAGGTAGACTTGTTTCATGAAGAAGGCAGCAGGAATCATTTATCTGTTTGGGAAAATTCAAAGTCAAGCCGAGACATGCCCTGCCTGTGACTGAGGAGCCAGGCGTACTGGGGAGGAATCTCGCCAATGCAGCATCAGCCCTGGTCCTCGTGATGTCCGGTGTTTCATTAGATGCCATTAAATTGCCTCATTGCCGCCCTATAAAAAGTCTCCCGACTGCCGGTTCCTCAGATCCTTGCCTCCTTTCAGTCTTGCTTCTTCAGGAAAGAAGGTAAGTCTCTCCACCTGGGGTAGGGACTTGTCAAGAAATAGAGCGGGTGAGGTTGGGCTGGAGAGACACAGGATGAAGGACGAGCCAGGACTGGACCCTGGACAGCCGTGAAGACAGACGGCGGTACAGCCGGCGGGAAGCCTGGAGCCGGGGACGCGAGAGTCCAGGGACAGGTGTAGCAAGTGGTTCTGTGTGGGAAGGGAATCCAGAGACCCGTGCTGCCCACACCCCTTCTCTGAGTGCGCTTGTGGGGTGTTCTCTTAGGTCCACTTATTAGGGAAGTAAAATGAGGTCCGGCTGATCAGGGAGCAAACGGCGGACACGTAGCCAACCTTGTCCTTGCTCTTGGCTCCTGTCAGGCTCAGCTTGAGACTTGAGTAGCTCAGGGTCTGCTGACATCAGTTTTCCTTCTTGGGGTGCTCCCTGGCTGCAGACAGTTGGCAGCTGCCAGGGGTAAAGCATTTGGGTGCCCATGATCTTCTCAGGAAGGTCCCGGCCTGCCCGTCACTCTGTCCCAAGGGGAAGCTGCATTTTTCCTCTGGAAGACTTCTAAGGTTCACAGTTTTGATGAGACCTCTCTTTTCAGATTTCACAAAGTCACAGCAAGATGTGTGACCAGCAGAAGCAGGCACAGTTTGCTCCGTCTTGTGTGAAAGGTTCAGGATTGGGGGCTGCCCAAGGGTCCGGTGGTGTCGCTGTTCAGGGCCAGGGTCCGGGCCAGACCCGAACTGTCTGTGTGACAGGCCCTGCTCCCTCGCAGCCTCAGACCTTTGTGACGTACTTAGCTCCAATCCCAGCTCAAACCTATGTGAGGGTCCCAGCTCCCTGCCAGACATACGTGAAGTGTCCAGTTCCCTGCCAGAGGAAAACCTACGTGAAGTGCCCGGCTCCCTGCCAGACGACCTCCGTGAAATGCCCGACCCCCTGCCAGACCTATGTGAAGTGCCCGGCTCCCTGCCAGACCACCTGTGTGCAATGCCCGACCCCCTGCCAGACGTATGTGAAGTGCCCGGCTCCCTGCCAGACGACCTACGTGAAATGTCCGGCTCCCTGCCAAACCCAGACGTATTACGTCCAGTCTTCTCCTTCCCAGACCTACTACGCTCAGGCCTCTGGGGGTGGCTCATCCTCACAGGGCTGTGCCCCTGACCCATGCCCTGCTCCCTGTTCCACCAGCTACTGCTGTCTGGCTCCCCGGACCTTCGGGGTCAGTCCCCTGAGGCGCTGGGTCCAGCGTCCCCAGGGCTGCAACACAGGATCATCAGGCTGCTGTGAGGATTCTGGCTGCTGCAGTTCTGGGTGCTGCAGCTCCGGGGGCTGCGGCTCTGGGGGCTGCGGTTCTGGGTGCTGCTGTTTGGGAATCATCCCCATGAGGTCCCGAGGTCCTGCGTGTTGTGACCGTGACGATGACTGTTGCTGTTAAATATAAAAGGACGGGCCTGCTCCAGAGCGCACAGCCCCGCTCTGCCTTCTGAGACCCTCACCAGCTGTGTCCCCTCCCTGGCCCACCTCAGTGATGCAGAACCTCCTCACTCCACCTCCGTCCTTCGCTTCTTTATCAAGGCAGCCTGCCAAAGTTAGCGCAAACCCCAAACTTTGGCAAGAATAAAACCATGAATGCAATGCCCGGTGGCTTCCTGTCTGTCTCTTTCATTCACATTCGTGCTTTTCTGTCTGAAAAGCTCTCTCTCTTCTCTTGTTTTTCAATTAGAAGAATGATCTGCATCAACATGAGCAAGCAGACCAACCTGGTCAACCCACAGCCTGGGCCCTCCTGCCTTCTAGAGGGCTGGGCATAGCTCCTCCATGCAAGTTAGCAGGATTCAGGCTGAAGATCTGGGCTGGGGCCGCCTCTTTCCTGCCCTCTGATTAGTCTTAGAAGAAGGTCCGGCCAGGAACAGGCCTTCATGGCCGCATGATTAACATATGTAACCTCTTGGGTTTATCTTTCTGGATGTTGAAGGGATTGGGAAACCCAGTCTTCTCTCACCCATTACCGGATGACGGTCCCACCGCTGTGGCTGTAGCTTGAACCCACAGGGGACTTTGATAGATTGCATTTTCTTATCTCATAGGCCACAGGGTCCAGGCCTAACAAAGAGTCTACAGCTCTCCTGAAGTGGGTAGACACTGCCCAGGATGGCTCTGGCCGTCAATGAGAGGTCTCCACGGGGAAGCTGAACATGTGGGAAGAGCTCCCTCCGGCCAGTTGCCCATCATTATTAGCATTTCTTTCTCCTTTGCACGGCCATCTGTGGAGGGTTCTGTTGGGTGGACTTATATAACAAGAGACTCTAAAACGCACACATTAAAAATTGGGCAGAGGGATCACAACTATTTAAAACAATGCCACAGACCATAGGAAACCACATGTTTGGTGAATGCATAAAAGAATGAGCGAGAGGCGGGGAGAGTGTGTTACTGAAGCAGTCTCTGGTTTGTGCTGGGACCCCAGCAGAAAGTCAGCTTGAGTCCTTTGGTGCCTTTGGATATCTAAAAACACGTAGCTGCTCAGATCATACCCCACTGCCCATCCAAACAGCTTAAACTGGCAGCCCAGCCCCTGGAGGCCCCCTCGGAGTCAGGAACAGCCCTACTGGGGACCTTGTGCTCCTCTTGAATTTCCAACTGAGAAGGTGGAATATGCTTATTCTGCAACTTATATGAGCATGAGATTTTTTTTATACTTATCACTTAAAATTATATAGACATCCAGAGCTGTGTAAGAATGTTATTAGTACATACAGAGGTTGTAGATCAAAATTAAAACTGGTCAACTTCTAGTTCCGTACTTGTTCTAGGGATAGCCTTACTCGGTTTGGGTTTTATCGGTCTAGACCTTTGTCTGAGTATTGCTTATACATAGAACTCACGAGCTTAGTAATTCCTGAAGCCCTCTGTGGTCTCGTCTGCAGAGAATGGCGTCCAAAGAGCCCAGCCCAGCGCCGATGTATCACAGAATACTGTAGGGAATCCACTCTGCCACCCATCACATACTTTTAAAAATCCCGTTTTCCATTCCTTTCATTATTCAACCTCCACAGTTGCTTAGTAATTCCTCATTAAACTCCCCAATATTCTCTAATATCCAGGCTCTGTGGCCTCTCTCACTCTCTCTTCACTGACTGCGTTCCTGCCCTCTGCTGCCCAAGGCTCTGGTCCTAACCATGCGGGTTGAATCTTTCCAACTTCCTCTTCACTTTCTCTCTTCTCCTCCCAATCTTGGCGTCTCTGTTTCGGAGAAAATGACCGAGGAACAAAAACCTCCCCTTTCCTCCTGCTATCCTAATTCTCTCTCTCTCTGGCCAATTGTATTGATTTTGTATGGGAGGAAGGGAAGGAATTACAAAGCTTAGAGACAAACACATGAGATTTTTGTGGTTGCTTAGGAATATGGAGTAAGGAAGAGCAGGGAATGAACCCCGACTCATTAATGAATCTCAGTCGATTTCTTAATAGTCCCTTTTTTTTTATTTTGTAGGATCACAATATATATATATATATTGTTCTACAACAAATGAATGTTGAGCATGAATTCTGGTTAGCGCATGTAATCATATCATTTTTTTTTTTGGTATTCTATCATTTCCATCGTGTGTCTAGTCGATGATTTATCTGTTCATTCCCTTATTACTGTTTTTTTCATTTATTTCTCTTATGATTTTCTTTTTCCTTCTCTGTCTCTTTCTTTTTTTTATTTGAGTGGCTATTAAGGCTTTTAAAATGTTTTCAATATAACACACTTTCAGAGAAGTACACAAATCATAAATTAGTACTCAATGAACACACCTGTGTGACCACCACCTACAGCCTAAAAAGTTAATGTCATTTTGAAAATAAATACAGCCCCCGATCCCCATGAAGTGGGGGACTGAGTTTGGATTCGGCACTGAACAAACCTTTGGACTAGCCCTGCCGTGGGTTTAGGAGACGGGTAGAAAAGACAGTGTAAAGAGATGTGGCCACGAAGGGAACCAGACTCTGGAGGCAGCCAGGAGCACCCCTCAGTGAACCCTAACACCCGACAGTGGGGACCTCCTCTTTTATGGGCTTCAGGAGACTGAGCGGCCTGAGGCCTAGGCGGTTTGGAAGAAGGATAAGCAACTTGTGTCAGATTTTCATTCATTCACCCAATAAGTAGATACAGAACATCTACTCTGTTCTCAGCACTATTTCTACCATTTTCAGAGCTTATAGGAAAGAGAGAGAGAGAGAAGAGAACACAATCCAACAAAGTGAAGATGCATCTAAGACTACAACTATGAGGGGAGAATCCAAAGCACCCCATGATGTGGGAGATGGAAAGTGTAACTTGATCCCCAGGTGGAGTAGGAGTCAAGGACAGAGTGGTGAGGGAGAATCCTCTCCAGGCAGAGGTCAGAGCACAGGTGGGATTCTGTGGAAGGAGGGGGACCAACAAGTGTAAGGATGTGGCAGGCAGGAAGGGCGGATGAGGTGACAGGGCCAGAGGGCCTGAAGGTTCTGCCAAGTGCTACATTGCGCCTACAGAGGTGTCCAAGCCGCCCCTGAGGAGTGTCCAGCAGGCAGGTGGTACCACATCAGTAGTTGGGCCTTTTAACAGTTCTCTCTGCAGAAAGAAATTCATATTTCTAGAGCATATTTAACAGATAATCCAAAACAGTTGCCCAATGGCATCAGTTTGCCCTCCTCCCCCCAAGCTCCCACCAGGTGCACCTCCCCTTCTTTGGGTCCAGTTGGAACATCTACAAAATGATAGCTTGGGCCCTATTATAAATAAGGTGCTTTCAAGTGCCAGTATCCGGTGGTCTTTGCCTCCCAGCCTAAGGCCCATTGCTGCTTGATACTGACGCTTATTTCCAAGATTGATGGCCGTACCCTTCAGAATATTCCATTTCAGGACATTCTTAGGTTAACCAAAAGTTCAACATGAGCCTGCTTTTGATAACTCAGAAAAATGTGATGCCCCATTTCTTAGGTTAAATAATCCAGACATCCTAATTCTGGTCCCTCCTCAGTATGTACCTGAGGCTAAACCACCAGTGATTTAGAAAGAATGGTAAGTCCAGAAGATGAAGTCCAACCCCTGGGAAACTGAGGAGAGTTCTCTTGGACAGGCTGGGGGGCTGCTCTCTGGAATTCAGAATGAGTCTGCTTCCCCACAACTTTTCTGAAGTGGTAGAAGAAGTCTGCAGAGTAGAGTTCTAAGGCCCTTCCCTGAGTAGGATAGTTTTTATGATGTTTCCTCTTCCAGGAAAATGCTTCTGCAATAATCTCTGATAAATAAGGCTGATGCATACAGGTAGACTTCCTATTTCACCCAAATCCATCGTGAAAAGCATACTCATGTAATGTACATTTTCATTTTACACCTATTGTAAATAGATTGTGTATGAATACTTGGCCAATGTTATTAAGTACCTGTAAGAAAAATGACTCCAATCTATTTTTGAAACCTAAAGGGAAGAACAGAGAGAATCGCCCTTTATTTGTTGAGGGCCTTCCATGTGCTGGACACTGCTGCTCCCTTTACGCGTGACATTCTCTTACCTGATTGGTCTCAACTACTTGGCAAGTTGGGGGTGGGGGGAGAGACAGCTGGCACCTTGGTAAAGCTGGACCTTTGAGTCAGTCAGACGTGGTTACTGAGCCTGCGACTCCACACATGTAACATGATCTCTGCACGCACGCCAACTGTGTCCCATAAAACTGCCTAAAACAGTGCCTAGCACATCTTAGCTAAGTGACACAGTTTTCCTATCCTCACTTGGAAGGATCGTGCCAACAAATATGAAAAGTGACTTGGTCAGAAGGTGACAATCCTGTCAGATAAAAAGTATTGTCTCCCAACTTTTCCTACCTCTGTCCTTAGCCCAGCTCTACCACAAATTTCTGTTATCCCTTTGAATAAGCCGCTTTCTCTTTGGGCCTCCATTCCTTCCTCTGTAAAATGGGTAAGGTGGGGGACGCCATCACTGGGGCCTTCTCCAGCTCTCACAACCTCCATGTCAATTCCTTGGATCTTCCTCAAAGTTCAGAGGTGTCTTCCTGAGATGCTGGAGATGGGCAGAGGTTGGTGGGTCACCTCCTCCATCTCTGGGAACAGCCCTTCTCCTGGGGTCGGTGCCGGGCAAGAAGGGGAATCTGAACAGTCCCGAGACAGAAGTCGGTGGAGAAAATGTCCCAATCAGATCTGATTCCTGTAAGCAGCTCCACCCCTGGAAGGCTGCTGCTGACCTGATTACACATCTGCCGGGTGAGACAGACGGGTGTTGGGGTGGGCTGGGCCCTGAGGGACGGAGAGGGGGTGGAATAGCATGTGCAGCACCAGGCTGAGAAAGGCCGGCGGTGAGTAATATTCGCAGAGATCCCCGTGGCCAGCCTCGTGTTTGGCCCACACGGACGACCTGCTGGGAGACCTGTTCATCTTAACCTACCAGCCTGGGCACAGCGCGAGCCCGGAGCCAGGCCTTATTTGCTTTGTTGTCTCCCAGGTCAAGCACAAGGTGACACTTAATATATTCTTGCCGAATAAAGGACTGAATCACCCCCATTCCTGTGTCTGTCCTATGGAAGGTTCCCTATAGTGTGTGACTCCATTCTGAGTACTCAGGGGACACCAGAGAACACTCATGGGTTCAGCTT